GGGTGGGCATCTGGCTCACTTCACATCACCAGGTAGGAAATGAGAATCTGGAGACTAGGGAGAAAAATGCATACTCTGGTTATTACTATTACCATGAATAATAAAGTCTTTGTCTCTGACCCAGAAATCTTGTGTCTTCTAGCATCCACGTAAGTGGCATACAATCTTAGATTCTTATGAGTACTGTAAAATCTCAGCCCCTTTCAGTCTTGACAGAGTATCCTTTAATGCTCATGAGCAGGAGAAGCTCTTTGATGTAGTCATTCTTCCATTTGAAGGGTGGGAGATGTTTTGACAGTTCTTTTCATTTGCAAAAGACATCTGAGGCTTTTTTGCTATGCTCTGTGAGGTTTATGTTTTGATTGGAAATCCAAAACCTCACATAACATGCATATACTGCAAGTGAGTTTTATTTGTTACATTTGTTAATGAAAGCCAAGAAAAAACCTAATGAAGTGCAAACGTAGTCAGCCAAGTAGATAGATTGATAAATTTCACTGCCACTAAAATACCTCCCACAACGGATATTAACTCTCAGTACTTCACAAGTAATTGGAAAAGGATGTGCTTTTCACACCTGGAAAAGGACCTGCAAATATTTCCATTAAGAATTCTAAGGAAATAAAGCAAAAGGAGAAAAGTAGAGAACAAGTTAAAATAGTTCTAATGAGTAATAATGTTATGCATCAAGTTGAATGGACCACATGGTGCCCAGATATTTAAACATTATTCCTTGTATCTTTCTGTGGAGTTTTGCATTTTAATTGGTACACTAAGTAAAGCAGATAAAGATGGCCCTCTGCAATGTGGGTGGAACCATCTATGTAGTCCTCCGAGCACTCAAAGAGAACCAAAAAAGAAGAAAGTTGAATTTGCTTTCTCTGCCTGACTGTCGAACTAGGACACTAATCTCCTGGGTGTTAGAACTTCATATTGGCCTGGAATATATACTACTAGTATTCTGGCTCTTAGGCCTTTTGACTATAGCTCTGGGCTTCCTAGGTCTCCAGCTTGCAGAAATGGAACTCTAGACATGGTCATGGAACTTCTCAGTCTCTTGTCATGTGAACCAAAACCTTTCAGTAAGTCTCTTGAAAATATAAAAATCAAAATATATATACACACAGTATTTATGCATGTTATACATATATGTATAGTATGTATGAATGTTATACATAGCATTATATAGTACCTCTTTGCCCATATGTGCCTACACGGTGCCATTTCTCTGAAGAACCCTAGTATATAACTTATAACAACGTCCTGTATTTTTATGGTTCTTAACACTTTCAGACAATTACGTAATTTTCTCCTTATGACATTTTAAAAATAAGGGCATTATTTCTTCCGTTTCAAACAAGATAAATGAACATTCTTCCTTAAATCCTTTTGTGACACTAGACACGATTTAAAGAATGAATCTTATTCAACTTTTCCTACTTTGCAGATAGTACCTGCACTAAATATTTGCATATCTTAAATTTACAGCACTTACACCGAGATAATTTTGAAGGAAGAAAATGATGACCATGTTCAAACGCTAGCCAACATTAAATACTCTGGCAAGGTTTTGCCCATAGACAAGCAAAGAACTGCACGGTTTGTTTATATTGAATGCTCAGTCAACTTGACAAATGATGGTAGACTTTTAGTGCTTAGTAACCCTTATGCTTTATGGGAAGAGGTCAAAGAAAGGAGAAGTTCAAAACATCATTCTTTAAATCTAACATAGTACCAGGAGCTCAAGTGAGCCCGATATTATTTCACTGACAAATTTAAGTGCTAGACCATTTCACATGAAATGAGCAGTTAGGAGTATGTTCTCCATTTTAAATCATTAATTTATGATAGCTTTCTCTCTTTACTGTTAAGGTATTAATTATAAAAGTAAACATTAGCTTAAACATCTAGATCATCCTTTACCGTTTTTCTTAGTCAAATTATCAATTCTGACAAGGAAACTTATAAAAACATTGTTTTAACATGCCTGGTAAATTAGCTTGTTGCTATGTATTAACTTAAAATATTACTTTAACTGTTATACCAACAGTCAAAAACAGATGGGATTGCTGCAAGATGGTGCAGAGTGAAGCTCTTGGGACATAAACTGATTTTGTTGTCTTAATGAGACCTATTTGGGAATAATTCTTTTTTCAAGTCCTTGCCACAAAGGAGAATAGTTTTTGTGTTTACAGAAAATGTGAAAATCCTCAAACCCAAACAGTATTCCTCAGTTAGGTGTTATACAAATCAAAAAAAAATATTAAACTAAAACAATTTTTTCTAGTTCTTGGCGTTATACAAACCTAAAAGAATATTATTCGAAGTGTATGTTTATATTGCCCCAAGTCTATAGATTCTGAGAGGTAAATTACTCTTCCAATATAATTCTTTCTTGTACCTCCTTTTATGTAAAAGGAATCATATGTAGTACTTGGGGGTACAAGTTTGAGAAAGTGAAAAAGATTAAATCACTAGAAAGGACAGAATATCAAGTACCAAGTTTCTTTCAATGCTTAGTTGTCTGGTCTCCTTTCTGTCCAACCCCCTCCCCCCCCCAAATAACTAGTATCAAAGCTAAGGAGACTTTGGAAGAAAGACCTTGACTCTACAAATTGTTTATTCATGCACTGAAAATGTGTATTCAGCCATGACTTCGTACCAGACCCTGGTAGGTACCAGCTACCAGCTATAATAGAGTGAGCAAAAATGAGCCCTGCCCTATTCTCATGTGGTTTACAGTTCAGAAGCAAACAACTTTGATGAACCTGAAGTGGCATGGGCCTACTGGGGATGTTTTGCTATGAAGTTGTGAAATGGTGTGGGGAAGCTTTTGTTTGGGCCCCTGTGAACTATAACTTCTCCCATCTAATGTTTTTACAGATGAATATCCATGTTGTTTTCTTGATTGCCTTTTCAGATATTTTTACCCATAAATCAAGACTTATAAGTACATTTTCAGTATTTGCCTCAGGATGTTCATTTTCCAACCAAGCTTCATTCTGAGAGTTATTCTTTACTTTATCTTCTAACTAACAGATCTTGGGTAAAAATCATCCCCAAGTAAAGCTAAAAACATCAAGAGGTATGTCAACTTGGGATCTCTTTGCCTTCCAGTCTTAAAACTATCTGCCCTTCATATTATAAATGTTTGAGAGTGCAAGACCAGCTATGGGTACCATCTGCTTAAGTCCTTTGACCTTATCCAGATCATTAACGAAGACCAGAAAGAAAGTGCTCATGAGAAAATAAGCCATTAAGAGAATCATATTTCCTATGGGCAAAGCATTTTAGATGTAATATTTTCACTTTAAACAATGTTTCATGCATACTAGACAAAGTTACTCTGCTATGATTCATAAGGAATTCTGCTCCTTAAAGGATGATAGCTTGTAGTGTGGAAGATGTGTGTAAAATTACAATATGGAAGTCAATGCCTGCATGGAGACAGTTTTTGTGGTAATTATGTCCTCTGCTAAGAGGGGATAAATTACTCAGATTACTAAAAATCCATGATAAGCCACTCACATAAGGCTTACTTATTGTACATGGCTGTGAAATACTAAATTGCTTTTTTTTTATCACTTTAAATGGATCTTCAGTAATTTTGTTAAAACATGACGTATTTTAAGTTAGACATCACAGATTTTTTTTCTACATGATGTGTTCAGGCTTGGTCTTTACTGGATGGTAATTCTTCATCTCATTCCAAGGCACATTGGAGGTAAGGAGAAGGTGGAAGACAGACATTACAGATTAGGGGAAAAAATTGAATTATTAAAAACAGGTTACTTTGGTGTTGATAGGGAACACTAATTGCAGTAAGATAGTATAAGCCCTCCGTATTTTCCATTTTAACAACTGAAGGTGCTTAGCAAGTCCCTGAACTCTAACACATTCCATATAAAACCAGCATTTCTGTTCACTTGCTAACCAAATGAGAGATGACAACTCCGAAAGCCTAACTAGCACTTCACACAAAACTGATGTTTTGTTAATGGGGGAGCTAATTACTATTCCACTTTCTTGGCTTAAGTGTCTTGAATTCTACCTGCTTATGCCTGGGGCACAAAGAACAACAAAATCAAACACACTGCTTTCTATGAGTTATATTAATGAAATAACCCAGCCATGTTTTAGTGCAATTGTTTGTCATCAAATATACATGAAGGACCTGGTGCCCTACCTGACTAGACATGACAATTTAACTTGGTGTTTTCCATTGTGGCAACATGATCATAAACATATTAACAAGTCCCATAGTGTGATCAACAACAGATGTAGAATTTAAAGTGTTGACAAGTTTCATCAGGTATTTGGGCCTTATGTATTTTCCACCACATCTAAATCCCATTGCTCCGAAAAACTGCCTCAGCAACTGTTTTCTGAAAAAGCCGTTTTCCATGAAAACACTTTTGTTTCATGCTTCGACTGGATAAGCAGACAAAGATTCCCTTGAATTGGCTTTGGGGAAAAGTCTGCTTTACAGTGCCAACTACTCACAGAATAGATCTTCAACAATTCTAACAAAATTTGAGAAATTTTGAGTGGTGGGGGCGATTAAAAAAAAAAAAATCACTAAGTACATTTTCACTGAAAGACAACTTAAAAATAAGCTTATTGGCATTACACAATGTAGACATGTGTCAAAAATATCAAATGGAGCACTCAAAAACATGTTTATTTGGATAAAATTGTTATTAGTCGACTATGTAATTTTTTTAAGGCTTACTTTAGTGAAGAGTAAATTTTGGTAAATTTGGTAGAAGATGTTCTGTTTTGCAGTATCTTTCCCTTTGAGGAATTTCCTACTACCCACTAGGGGCACTATAAGTCTTCTGGTCCCAGGACCCCAGATTTAGGGTGAGCATTCTCTCAGCCTGGATAATCAGAATTCTTCATTCCTTAGGAACAGTTCTTTATTCCATCAATGAGCCATAGATCCAGAACAGAGGCATCACAATATTCCTCTGGGCTTTTGCTAAAGCTCTAGGGAGATACACGCTTTCTGGGTTCACTAGCTCTAAGAACAATACAGGCCCAGGACTGTTGGTGGTACATTTGCTACCACCCAGGAAGAGCATGCCTGATAACAAAGCTAACAGAAAAAACAAGTAATGACAAGAGGAGGAGGAGTGCAAAAGGTAGGGAATAGCTACGAGGCTAAGAAACATCTTGTTGGCCACAAATGAGGCTACTAGCTCTAAGCAAGCCCGAGTTTTTCCAGTTATTCTAGCCATTAATTCCTCCCCAGCCCTTTTTATTGACATAGATGGTTAGATTTTCTTCTATGAAAGTCTAAACAGTAAATATGCTTTGTCTTTACATAGGTCTATTGCAACTACTCTGTTAAGATGTGAAAGCAGCCACAGGCAACATTAATAAACATGATCCTATTTCCAGAACACTTCCATTATGCATACGGAAATTTAGTTTGACATAATTTGTGTGTTACAAAGTATTACTTTTATTTTTCCTCATCCTTTAAAAACCACATAAACTATTCCATGTTATGGCAATATACCAACCTGATGCAGAAGAGCTGGCTTACAGGCAGTATTTTGCCCTAGGCCTGGTCTCATATGCTACTTTTGGTGTCCCTGAAGCACCCATTCCACTGCTCTTTTCAGTGTGTATCTCACACACACACACACACACACACACACACACACACACACACACACACCTTCCTTTTTCTTAGGTATCTTTTCTCACCTTCTCCTCTGCTGTTCGGTTTGGACTGAAGTGGCCTCCATCATCTCAAAGACAGTAAGATCATTTCCTCTTTCTGGCTAAAGGATCAATTCAGGAATTAATCCATGACTTAGTTCAGTCCAAGATTTGAGGAATATTGGCTAGGGCTTCTGAAAACAGAAGCTTCCCCTTTTCTATCCCCTGGCACACCTCGAGCCCTCTGAGGAAAGAGCCTCTACCCCAACAACGTTAAGGAACGAAGACAGACTCAGAACGACTGCAGCCATTAGGATAAAGATGTTGGCTTCTAGGAGCCACCCTCTGAAGCCTGGGCATGTGGCCAATACAGTGATCTCATTCATTGGGTTAGAGTGCATCTCATGAATGGCTGTCCATAATCTGTTGTTATATGCGTCAAAAAGATTTTTTGTGTATTTTTTTTTTTACATCTTTTTTATTTTTGTAAGTGGATCGAACCCTGTGCCTCACGCATGCTAGGCAAGTACTCTGCCACTGAGCCATAATCCCAGTCCTGCTTAGTTTATTTTTGATAAGTTTTCTAATAGCTTTCTGTGTATTGCCATAAAAAGAATCCTGACAAAATTTCAAGAAAAAAAAATCAGCAAGAACAACTGGCAATTTTTAATTCAATCCAACAAAGACCTTCAAGGAAGGTCACCGATTAGCAGCATCATCGCCAGTTCCAATCAAGTTTAGGATCATGACCTTCGCTCTTCACATCTGTTTACCAAGAGTGCTCTAGACTCTTGATTTCACAAACTCATGACAGAATGTTTATTTAAAGCCAAGATTTCCTGTCTGAAGGCACCCTTAAAACTCCAAACTCTTACCATCACCACAAGACCATTGCCTTCCCCATCTAGCCATGATAGCATCCTTGCTCTTCCTCAAGTATGACAAGGGAGAAGAATTTTACAATTCCCTTTCCCTCCACCTAAAATGCTCTTCAATCTCAATATAAGCTTTTTTTAAAAAATTCTCTATTGCAGTATCACTCCCAGACGCCTTTCCCAACTACCCCTTCTAAAATGGCAATGGCCCTTTCTCTATATACATAGCTCCATATACTCTATCCCCTAGTTGTTCTGGATTTATTCATAAAAATTTCATCAAGCTGAAATTACTCATTGTTTTTATTCATCCGTTTCCCCACTAGAATACAAGTTTTATGGGGACAGGAACTTTGTCAGCTTCTGCAGTACTATATTCCTGGGAAAAGTCTAGAATAGGTCTGCCATTCAATAAATAGGTACCAATAAAATATGAAATCGAGGAAGAAAGGAGGGAAAGTAGTGAATGGTAGGGATTAAAGGAAACCAGTTCACACAGCTTTCCCTGTAGGAAAGAAATCTACAGAAGAAAACCAGTTTTTACAAAAAAAAAAAAACTGCAGATTTTAAATCTTACTGTAGTTCTCAGCCTAAGGCTACAGAGGAATCATTTAAAAACAGACCATTGTCATGAACATAGTGTAAAACTAGAATGCCTTACACTGCCAAACAGGATTTAACTGATTTAGAGGAATTCATAGCTTACAAAACAGTTTGCACCTAGATTCTCATTTAACTCTCAAAGACCTTTGAGGAGATGTCCTCATTCCTCTCAAATTAAAATTGGAGCTCTGGCTTCATCTCAAGGTAGGAATAGTTCAAGGTTACTAAGTGACAAATGGCAAAAACCAGAACTTGAACTCAGAATCCTGCTTTGTTCTACTCTACTGCCATTTTCTAGCCAGGACAGACACCACTTAATGTGTGTTAGTTTATCAGCTTTAGTCTCCAAGGGGGACCTGAACTTGTCTTCATTTCCTAGGAATTTCCAGAGAAACTAGCACAGCACATCTCGGGGAAGCCAGTGTCTAAATAAGGTTCCTCAGCTCCACTTGAGGTCAGCTGGAATGTGATTCTTCTCAGACATTAATATGCATATGACTCAACCCCGAATCCTGTTAAGGTAATTATGACTCAAATGACTCAATAGTTCTTGG